ACACACACACACACACACACACACACACACACACACACACACACACACACACACACACACACACACACACAAAATAGAGAGCTGGTTGAATGGGCATCTTTCATTTCATAGAGCTCCCCTTCTAGCAAAGCTCTTGCTCTTCCCAGATTACCCACTGAATGACCCTTACAGGATTTACCTACATGCATGGCAGTCTCTTTCCTGATACATAAGGATTATATTATATACATTCATATTGGGGGAGATTTCTAGTGTCCTAGTGAGTCACCTCTGCTATACTGGTAGAAAACTATTAAGGCTTACTTTTGTTCTCTACTCACCAAAGAACAGTTCTGGTTTTCCTAAAGTTAAAAACAAATCTTTGTAACTATTGGATTGAATTTCTTCTCCCAAATTGGATAATCGGCCATGATATTTTATCCCAGTTTTGTTTAAATTGGATTTGTTGTAATAAATATGTTGCCTGCATGGAATTTGCTTACGGTACTTTGTTTTATTTACCATGAAGTGCCACTAACCTGGTGACATGACTTGACAGAAGGTGCTCTTTCTCCTATTCCAGACTTGCTAGACGTTTCTGAAACATTAACATTATCATCTCAGATACGCCAATTTTTAAAAAAATATTCTTTATAATTAAAGAATTGTTGAAGAATTTTAAAAAGATCCTTGAAAAATAACAGAGCTATCACCAATAGAGGAACTAGAAAAGGTCCTCAGGTCTAAGGATGTGTCAGTGGAGACCAAGACCAAGATCACGTAAGCAACATTACCAACGAATAAAGACAAATTTAGGAATACTTTCCATTCAAAAATAACAAACACAAAGGCAAAATTCTGTTTGAGATGGCTCACATAACCGGCCACTGTGCAAGGGAAATGACATTTACAGCGTTTGTGCATGGATATCCTTCCTGTTTAGTGAACTGGTCGTCCCATTCAATGAGATTTAATCGGAATCAATGGGACTTCTTTCTAAGCAATTATAATTAAGGCTGGGATGTTGATACTCAGATCATTTTACCATTTGGATCTAGTTTGTCCTTTTAAAAAGTAGTACTTTATTTTCTCCACTACCAAAAGTGAGCCAGGTATAACACCTAACCTGAGTCTATCCAGAGAATCTATACCTCAGTGGAATATGAACTCAAAGACAAAGGGCAATTCTCAAAATGCTTCAGTGTATAGCGGACGTCTGACATATGTGTGGACTTCAGGATAAAGATTTTACAACATAGTTGCCTTGTTTCTTTCATTCACAGAATTTCACAGGAAAGCGAGAGGACAATATATTTTCCAACTGCTTTTTTTTTACCACATAAATTTTCATTAAGGAGAGAAAGAAAGAAAAAACAAAACCCTGTTCCCAGTGCTTTTTAGTTAGCAGTACTATGAGCTGTCAATCTAACATGTTTATAAACTGCCTAATTCCTATTTTCATTTCCGTACTAGAATACTGTTTATTGAGAGAGCCTTTAGGTGGCACCATTTCTCCTCTTGTCAACAAACTCAGGAATCCCTTTACTGAAAATATTCTATGTACTTTTGTCCATGAGGAAGTAATGGTGCTGTTGCTAGTGCCAGTTTATTAGCACAATCAGCATCTACAAAGCAACTCAACTGTTGTGGGTTATTCAAATTGATATAGGCAAGCAAGGAGAAAAAGTTGTAAATTGCCTGGCCAAGAGCCCCAATGTCCAAGTAAATGGGTTATTCATTAAAATATATCTCTTTTAATGCTGGACCTTTTGCAAACGGTGATAATATTCGTTAACAAATAATATGTTCAAGAATATAGGTTGTGCAACTGTATTTTGGTTTGTGAGTTAAAGAGACATCCACATAAAAGCACTAGTTTAATAGCTTGCTCAATTGCCTTAACCGCTGATGAGTAACACAATTGTTGGTATGATCAACCAGGGTCTGCCTGAAACTTCTGTGTTGCATGTTCAATTTGAGGAGAGAAGCGAAGGGGAAGAACAAACTGAACGTCGAAAAAAACAGGGTAGAGGGGGAGAAAAGAAGAGAGGATGGCTTACCCAATGGTCCGAGCAGAAGGTCCTTGGGGTGCTTTGAGGACATGTTTCTGCTCTTGAGGAACTGATGTTGCTTTAGGGAAGCCTGCCCACCTGGGGTTTTGCCTAGTTCCTCCTCTTGAATGTGCATGTTTGCAAATTAATATTATAAAAACACTAGAAATGTTCAATATTATTTCTTTAGGAAGATGCTGGCCACATAAAAGCCTACTCCTGCTTCTGGCTTGATCCTGTGACGAGGCAGCAGCAGGAGAATGGAGTTCCGTCCCTGGGCTGAGGTCTGATCGAGACAGCAGCAGGAGGACGGAGCTCCGTACCTGGGCTGAGGTCTGATCTGTTTGGGACACCCCCCCATGGGGTTAAAACCATTCCGAACAGGTGGTGAATTGGGGGAGAACTCCTGTTGGTCACAGGGGGGCAGCGGCAGTTACCCACATCTGATCTGGGAAACTCCCCAATCAACCAGCAGGTGGAAACAAGCAGCTGAATTAGCTGAAAAACAATGCCAGAAATAGGCAAAATATAAATTTCTCAACTTTTATAAAAAAAGAAGAGCCTTTACCTGTTCTCTTTGGATGCAAGGGTGAAATATGTTTCTTATCTGACTCTGCAATCCTTTTATGCTTTCTATTTTTATCCACCTTTACACAGGATGCCTCACAGTTGTGCTGTAAAACAGTTTGCAATACAGAATTATATTCTATACAGAAGCATTTACAATACAGAATTTACAGTTCTTCATTCAATTCAGTACAGAGATTTAACAACTATTCACTTATTTTAAGTATTAGACTTTCAGATCCTTTTATATAAGATTATGAAAGCATGGAACTCGCCAAAGAAGCATGGGACTACAAGTACATACGGTATAAGCACAGCTACAGGGCAGATTTCTCCTGGGTTTAACTACAAGTCCCCAATCAACCAGCAGGTTTAGTGGTGGCTTTCCCTAAACTTAGTGGTGGTATGGAGAATTTTCTGCTAGAAATGTCTAGTCATCTCCACAGAAGTAGAGTGGTGCAGGTTTCATGACAAGGTAGAACAACTATCAAGACAGGTCCTGCCACAGACCCATGCTATTTCCAACCAGTAGAGTGTATACAAATCTAAACCAAACAACTGGGTATCCTGTGTTGGAAAGAACTTCCCAGCATAACAACAGATGTTTCTTGGGTGGCACAGAGGGAGATGTGTGTTACATAGGATAGCCTGTCTTCAGGCAGGGACGAAAGGTTGGCCACAGCCACAAAAATCTGTTCTAAATCTATACCGATGTATTTGACAGATCTCTCACTGCAAGTACAAACAACAGACACAGGGAAATTATGTTTCAAATAACCTGCTCCTGTGCTTCGGTGCTGCTCTCCTCTTCTTCCTCATCACAGTCTAATCCCTGGTGGGAGATCTCGGTGGGACCATTCTCCTCAACTAAATTGCTCTCCAGCATCCCCATCCGTTTGCTCTCAGTTGTCACTCTCACTTTCAGGACATGAAACCCGGTAGAGACCGCCCCTACTTTGAGATTCACGGGGTCACCATCAAACAGCAGGGAGTCTGAGTCATTGCCTTCTTTAAAACCAGGGGGCTGGTAATTGTTAGGTGTGACTGCAAGAGATTACATTCACAAAATCCTGTGTTTTAGTTATAGGGCTTGCAAGAAAAGGCAAATACAGTATTCCAGAGGAAGCAGAAGGCTAGGTGGCTTAGAGGGAGCAAACAACAACAGTGGTCAGTTCATTGGGTCCTGTGGGCTTAATCAGTTAGCCCCTGCCTTTTTTGTACCTCTTTGCAACACGTATTTTTACTTCTTCATTTATAACATTTTCCTTCCATCTTCAGCTAAAATCTTTCTAAAAGTTGTTTTTACAAAACCACTAACAAACAGGCTTGACCCTGCTTCCAATTCCAGCCTCACAAGGTAAAAGACATGGCACAAAAGGAAAAAAGGAAGAGGAGAGGGAAAAGGGAAACGGGCAAATTCAGGTACGTCATCAAGTGGCAAGTTTCATTGCAAATAATTCAGGGAGAGAAGCAACCAAAAGGAAATTTCTCTCAAGAGAACACATGGAGTGGACCTGCTTCTCATCTCAAGGCTCCAGAGGCAGGATTGCTGGCAATCCAGCCCATTTGCCTTACTCTGTATTACCAGAGTAACTTGACAGAAAAGTAGTGCTCGCGGGATAACTCAGTGGTTTAGGTATGACAGGGAGTTCGATTCCCCATTGTGCCTCTTGGGAAGAGAGTCCGCCTGTGTGGCCTCGGGCAAACTGCGCAGTAGTCCCAAGGCATCTCCAGAAGAAGGGAAGAGGAAACCACTTCTGCATATTCTCTACCTGGAAAATCCTGAAAAGGGTTGCCATAAGTCAGAATTGATTTGACAGCACATGATGATTATTAGTAACCTGCTAGAAAAGCAAGCTAAGGATTGCTTTTCTGACTCTTCTGAACCACTGACTCTGGCTTAGTTCTTCAACATTTGCTTTACATGCTGGGCGATGGTCACATTATTCGTCCATACCCCTCTGCTTCTCACCTTGACTACCAGTTTGGTTCCCATCTAATTGTCTTGACATACCTTCTGACAGCAGTTTTCCTCTCTCTTTTTTAGTTGGATGTTAATCCTGGGAAACATGTACTATGACCGGGCAAAGGGAACAAACCAGGAGAACCTTCACTACTCACCATCTTTGTAATAGAACAGTTTCATGGTCAGTGTAATATCATTAGGCAGTGGTCCAAGATGCTGCATTAAGATGTAAAGTTTGCGGATCAGCAGGATGCTGGCTTCCTTAACTTCTTCACTGCTTGCTCCATTTGTAGAGCTCACCTGAGTGCTAGCACCAAAACAAGACAGGAGTCGGAACCTATCCTAGTCCATATGGTTCAGTATTAAGCCATAAAACTAACTAAAAAGGAGACAGCCTCAACCGCTACTGGGAAAATGGTGGTACCAAACCCCGTTATCATCCTGTAACCCATTGTATCAGAAAATGGATGCAGCAATCACACACAAGAGATGCTAAGCCTGAGTAGCACTGCAATGTATGCAAGTGCAAAATACAAGTCAGCCTTATGATTCTGCACCTAAAGTAGCATGTCATTTACAAGATATGGTATAACTGCCAGTCAGGCCAGCTCCGCTTTTCAGGTATAGCCGCTAATCTGAAGAGAATATTCATAATAGCAATGCGATGTGAACGGCTCAAACTCATGTGAGGCTGCAGCTCTAGTTGTGTGAACTAAGCAGTCATTATCAGGGGCTTTTTCCATTTTGTCTTCATGTTAACAGAGCCATGATTTGAATGAATTCATAATTCCAACACTACACTGCTCACTCAAATAGGTTGTTCCAATTGGTAGTTCTTTTGATATGGAGACTCCAGCTGCTTCAATATGTGACAGCTAGTCTTCTGGAATAGAAAGCATCCTATAGAAACCGTGTAATGCAGAACAACCTGAAAACTCCAGCTACCTGCTGTGATGGGACTACAAGAGATGGCTATTGTGTCAGAATGAACTTGCCACACTGAACAGTGTAGTTACAGTGGTAAAAGCCAGTGCATGTATATGCTGGCTATGCAAGCAGCCGTTTTAGACAGCTAGGATAGTACGTTCTCAGCTACAATAGAAACCACAATAGCAGGAAAAGGGTTTCTAGCAAGAACAAACAACATCACCGAGGCCAATGGCAAATATAGAACACCCAATGACACATTTTACTGGAAAAATTTAAAAAAGCCTGCAGAGTGTTTTCACTACTTTAATCAAGATAGATAAAGAAGAAAGGCAGGTTGGAGGAGAAAAGACAGATACCTAGAATACAAAATGTGTCATCAAGACTAAATCCATGACTATGAAAAAGCATCATCTCCATGTAAAGTATTATGAATAATCATTTGCCAGAACTCTGAACTTAAATCTCCAAGAGTCCCATCTAAAGAATAAGGGTCTAACGCAGAAGCAGATGGACTGCTATTGGAGAGAATGTGCCAAGTCTATAAGAACCATTTACTTACAACAGAACTAATGTCTAAAGAACTATGTGGCTCATCTTGCCATCCACAAGAGAAAGAGAGAAACTGCATGACCAGTTTTCTCTCCTCACAAATCATGATTGAAAACTTTTCAAATGATTTATGAAAAATAATCAAGAATACTATAATATTGTATAATAAAATTCTATTCTATTCCATTCTGTTCTATTCTAAATTTGTGCTGTTGGAAGAAGACACACAGTTTCAGTTTGAATTTTGTAGAAATATATGATATCATCCATAGGCTTGTTCTGCAAAAGCACAATAAATGCACCACAGAAACAGTACAAAGTAAAATAAAATAAAAGCCCGCACATGTAATAGTTTTCCATATTCCAAGAATTTACTCAGCGTGCATTTTCCAGAAATTAAATTGAAAGAGTTAGCCTAACTTAAACTAAGAGATTTACCGAACAACGTCCATATGAGGTCCATTCTTCAAATACTTGAACCTGAACTGGTAGAATTCAGTCATGCACTGCAGGATGGAAAGGAAAGAGACGTCTGACCATCAAAAGGGCAGGATGAGGCTACCACAACAGATGCTAGGGATGGCAGGGGGAGCAAAATGTCTGGAGCGTTCTCTGCAAGGGAGGTTCTGACCACAATCCAGTTCCCACATGAGATTTCAGAAACTGCTTTACAACCTTTTAGTGTCAAAACAAGTGCACAGTCTCTTGAAATTTCCCTCACTCATTCAATTGATCACTGTCCTTAGATATCTTTAATGTGCTATGTTAAGGACAGCTCTATTTTTTTACGTTTGCTGTATGTTATAGTATAGGAAATCCTGGGTTTGTTCACTAAATAACATGCATTCCCACTTGTACTGAGACCTTTTATTAGGCTACATTAATTCTATCTGACAGGTACATTCAGTGCTTATTATAGAGCGGAGGTAGCTTAAATGGTATTGGAAGTGACAAGTAACTATGTAATATATGAGAAAACAAATCAATTAAACAGGGCAGAAATATGTGACAGGCTGCTTGTACTGAAAGAAGCAAATAGGCATTCACTAGCTGGATGTGGTGGCTGGGTTGTTTACTATCACAATCTAAAATGGGTTTCTTAATTTGATTTACATTTGATTGGAAACCAATCCTGGCTGACATGAAGACAAAAACAGATTTACTTGTCATTTATACTTTGTCACTTTCTCTTACCTCAGGGTCTTTGGGATTTGTATATATCTGTTTTAAGAAAATAGATCGTGTTAGTGTTGCCTTTTGAGTTGTCACAGTAAGATGAAACAAAGCATTCTGCATTCTAGGCTTCAGAATACTTTGTGGTTCTCAGAAATCTGAACAGAAAATTGCTCATATTTGTTCCAGTCTGGGACTCCATAATGAAGTTAGGTTCTGGAAAATTAAGTCTGGTTGGATAGCTCAGAGAGTTGTGTACTTATTTGCAGATCAATTCCTTGTTATTCCATGTAAGAGGTGAGTCAACTTGTATGGCCTTGGACAAGCTAAGTGTATATGACTGGATTTATTATAACACACCACAATGGTTTCTAATGCAAAGTTATGGAATAGTTTTCTTTTTTGACCACTATGTGACAAAAATAGGCTGAATTCTACAAGGATAATCCTTTCTCATGACCAGTCTTCCCAAATGCTTGCAAAGGGGGAACTGGAAGATTAAAACTTTAAACCAAAACAGAGGGCAAAATAAGGGAAGATAATTTTACTCATGCAAAAATATCTCAAGATGATAAAAAGGAATCCTGGTATCCTCTTTTTCCACTCCAAAACAATCGAGAGATGATTAAGGATTTCATATAGGCAAGCAACACTGAAGTCCTTAGCTGGCTCAGGATAACAGTGATGTTTTAGATTAATTCAGTTTTCATTTCACTTAATATTCATACGTTCCTTTTTAATGAAGATACATAATAGGGAATTACAATATGATGAAAATCAAAACATACCATCGTCAGTAGGATGTTGAATCCACTCATTGCTCCAGTATAGGCCTGAAATTATGCCATTTGTGGAACTGGCACAGTACGTTCAAAAGAATATGGGAAGCTGCCATATGCAGTTCAATGGTTCAGTCAGTTTATCAGTGCCTACACTGATGGTAGACGTTTTCCAGGGTTTAACACAGAGGTCTTTCCCAGCTCTGCCTGAAGATGGAAGAGACTAAGCCTTGGCTCCTGTATGTGAAGCATGTGCTCTATATCTACTACTAGTTTAAAATAGTTATAGTGGGGGTAGGAAAAAACATTATAAAGCTACCTCCACCTTCAAATCTTGTTTGCAGTAAGGAGGTAAAATTTCAGATTGGATGGAGCAAATCCAATCGATTCCACTGACACACACAGAGTGCTTGGTGTGAGTGGGGAGGCAGCAGCTCTCCTTCACTGGAGATTTTTAAGCACAGATGGTCAGTCATGTTTTAAGATGTGGATTTCCTGCCATTGACAGGAGGCTGGACTCAATGATCCTTGGGGGTCCCTTCCAGCTCCCTAGATCTATGATTTTATGACTCTATGCTATACTCTTTCCAAAGAAGAGGATATTATCTACACATTGGTTTCCTTTTGCTACTTACTGCCAAGATAGCCATACGCAGCTGGAAAACAAAAACAAAGGAACTGTCAACAATCTGCATTTCATTTTAAAATGTAGCCATTGTTTTCCTTAAGCTGGTGCTATTCCCCAGAGTTCAGGGTTGGGGGGGGGGGAAGAGGAAGTCTGGGTCCCTCTCTTTATCGGAATGGGCAGCAAAAATTTGATCTTTGAACAATGCAAAATTTTGGCCTCAGTCTAAGCAACTGAGGCCAAAAATCACATGACACTATATTTTCATACACATAATATTATACATATAATTTAAAACTATAATTAGCAGCCATGGGGAGCGCTTGATCAGAGCCTGAGACAACACCATGCAAGGAGGTGGATCCTTTAACTATTTCCTCATTTGGTCCTGATCAAATCCTACTCAGTATCGTGCAGTATGGGGAAGAAATTCCCATGGGGGGCCAATGTCTGTTATTTTCCTACACAGAATTCACATAATTTCTAAAGGAATTGTATTGTAACTGTGCGGCAAAGAAGAAGAATGTGGCACCTTAAAGCATGGATGGACATCTAGAGCAGGGGTGTCCAACCTTTCACCTTCCCTGGGCCACATTAGAAGATGAAAATTTGGTTTGGGCCGCACATAAATTTGGTTTGGGCCGCATTGGGGGGGGGCAGCCCTAGCCATCCTCCGCAGACCTGCTCCAAGCTGCGATCTCAGACAGCAGAGGCTGCCAGCTTCGACTCTGGTGGCTTTATGGGGCCGGAAGGGGGTCCACCTTTTGATGGGGATGGCGCAATGCAGTCACGCAGCCCCCCTCTCCCCTCCCACTCTTTCCTTCCTTCCCTCTCTCCCCCTACCATTGTGATGTGGCCCAGCCGCATTCTGGCCACAAGCACCGGCAGTGTAACTTGAAACTTTGGAATTTCTTTAAAAATAAAAAATTGCACTGGGCCACATTATGAGCCGACCTGGACCGCATGCGGCCCTTGTACATTTCACTACAATTTCACGCTGCATTTCATGCACCTGATGAAGTGGGCTGCACTCTCCCCTGTCCCCAAATGGTGAGGAACAGTGTCCTTCAAACCTCAGATGCAGTCAAGTGCTCTTGACAAGGTCAGCCAGACACAAAAGCTCAAGGAATAGTAGTCTGTTGCCTGGTTCAGCAACCTCCCTGTAGAATGTCTGCTTTTCCATTGCATGCAATATTGCTTATGCAAGCAGTCATGTAACAGGGAGACTGCTGGAGTGCATGGGAAGTTTACATTATTCCCTTTCCTCCATGTAGCCCCTGTTTTAATACATTTGTTAGACTTAACTGATAACAGGAGTTTGTTGCCATTTAATGTGTTTGTGAAGAACATTACTGACATCATGTGGGCATTCTGATTAAGTACATGGGAGCATACACATTAAATCACTTAACAGTAAGCCTTTCCCTCTTCTTTTTCACTATTCCAGAATGGGGGGTTATTCTCCCAAAAGCTTAAAATTATATAGAAAAAAGAATTTCACTTTGTCATGCAAGGCAAATCTGGGGAAATTCCTTCTTCTGTTGTTGTTTTGTACTGTCAAGTTGTTTCTGATTTATGATGCTCCTCTGAATTAGTGATCTCCAAGCATGATCCAGCCCACGCTAATTATCCTGCCTAGACAAGCTAATTATAAAGCTCAGTCTAACTATAAAGCACGAACTGATTTTCTTTTGAAATCGTTTTGGCAATTCCTTCTTCTGTTGTTGTTTTGTACTGTCAAGTTGTTTCTGATTTATGATGCTCCTCTGAATTAGTGATCTCCAAGCATGATCCAGCCCACGCTAATTATCCTGCCTAGACAAGCTAATTATAAAGCTCAGTCTAACTATAAAGCACAAACTGATTTTCTTCTGAAATCGTTTTGGTATGTTCCAGTATCCAGCATCTATTTCCAATATTGCCTCTTCCTTTTCTAAACCCAGCCTGAATATTCAGGATTTCTTGCTTCGTGTGTGGTAAAAGCCTCTGTTGTGAAATCTTGAACATTACTGTGCTCGCATGGGAAATTACCGTATTTTTCGCTCCATAAGACGCACCTTTCCATAAGACGCACCAATTTTTTAGGAGAAGAAAACAGGAAAATATAATCTGTTTTCTTCGCTCCATAAGACGCACAGACTTTCCACCCCCCTGTTTTGTGGGGGGAAAGTGCGTCTTATGGTGCGAAAAATACGGTAATGCAACAGTTCCATAGTTTCTGTAATCTTTGGTCTCTCTTTTCTTGGGGACTCAAATGTATAACGAGTGAGTAAAATCGCTTGATAAAAATATAAATACTAGTCTGCCTTAAAACTTTAATTTCTTCTAAAGTTACAACATGCAAAGATGATGGTATGCAAATTTAATTTCTGGTTATTTTCATCAATCATCTTCAGCTAAAAGTACAGCAGTAAAGACTGAGATTTTAACATACAATTTAGGATGGACTTCTTTCTTTTGTATGGTCATTAATTGTATAAGATGAAGAGCAATTAATTACTACATATGTTGTTCCCTGAGCTCTTGGGATAAAATAAAACTCATGATATCTCAAACAAAGTTTGAATATTAATTAAGTTAAATTAATACTTACATAGTTCTTTTCCAGTGCATCAAAGCAACCCTGAATCCTACCAGAGCAGAAATAATGATGGATAAGTATCAGAAGATGTACAGAAGTAAGGAATTCTAAACTGTCAGATGGAGTTCAGATCTTATAGCTTACAAAGTAAAGGACTCTGGGATGCAAAATGTATGCCAGATTAATTTAAATTGTAATATATTTTTTAATTTCTGCACAGTTGGAGCTGAATATAGCCACTTGGCTTTGGGATTTTCTTGGTCTTATTTTATTTCTTACCACTTGACTATCTGTAGTGAGCCCTGACAGCTTTTATCTTCTCGAAGGATTTTTAGACACATGTCTGTGGATGAAATGAAACAATAAAGGCTTAAACAGTGTTTATGAGTTGATTTGCAGCTAGCACAAAATAGTCTTTTTAAACCTTGTGGCTTTATACCTAGTTATCAGTACTATTTAAAAAAAACTTTGAATATAAATATAAAAATTTTGACAATAGCCAGAGGATCCAAAATTGCACATATTACCATCCAAATAGCGTGTCCCGTAAGAGTTTTCTGGGAAGAGCCCTCGGAGATAAGTTATACAAGAGACGGAAATCGCCAGCAATCTTTTGACCAAAACCATAGACTCTTGCTCAGAGGCAATCTTGTTAGGAAACAGAGCGGCTTCCTGAATGAAACAAACAGAGACATATTCTCTATTAGTTCAAAAAGACAAATCAATACCCTGTAATGGATCTTCAGTATATTAATACTAGTCGTTTTTTATTTTTTTTATTTTTTACCTTTGAAGTTTTATGCTTTGGCCCTATATGCCACACTTGAGTCGTAGCCATATTATCTTAATCAGCTGTTTTCCACGTACTTGTCCGGAGCTGAAGAAAGGCAAGATACGTTAGCTCCTTGGTATTATAAGCGTATAAATTGTTCAATTACAGAGTCGCTAGGTCAGCAGCCTCTTAGAGAATAATTTTTAGGATTTAGCCCTCTAATCTTAGAGAATGAGGGCTAAATCCTAAAAATCCAGAGAAGAGACCTTGAATCTTGAATCCCAGAGCCATAAGTTTGAGATCTGGTCACCCTACTGTACTCATCATGGCCACAAATTCAGATATTATTATTTTTTTGGTGGGGGGGCACCCAAAGGCTTAGCCCCAGCCCTGCCATTAGGTAAAGGGAGGAAGCAGCCTCAACATCCTGATTTCGAGTGTCATGAAAGAGTAGCAAACTGCTGACGATTACATTGGTCATTACTTCATTTTTATCACTACAGATAAGGAGAGGTGTTTGTCAGATTATATGTCCCATGAGCTGTAGTAGTTTGCCTCATTTGGGATATTATGCACTAGGGCTTGGATGGTCGGGAGATATTTGCTGGTTCCTTTCAGGCAACAAAATATTTTGCACCACACGGAGCCCCTAAGATGGATGGGGACAGGTTGAACAGAACTCCCTCTGAAATCCCTAAATTAAAATTCCTCTATAATTTGGGTAAAGAGCTCATTCACTCCAGTGGAAACTAATTTTTGTGTCAACTGCTAAGCCCTGGTATGTGTTTTCAATAGCCAGGCTTAACCATGTCATGTATTAGGAAGAGATAAAGAGTGTCCCTGAACAGGTGCAGAGTGCAATTCCCTCATTACTGAGGAAGAAGCAGTTTCCTTTCTCTTGCCTCAAAAAAGATTTCAGAGCAGTTGAATTCCAGTCAGATTTGTGGGCTGGCATAGGCTTCCTCTCTCAGTTTTATAAGAAGAAAATTAGCAAATAGATATTTTAAATAGATATGGGAGTGGCAATGGGGGAGGGGGACTTCAAGGTCTCCCAATGGGGAGAAGGAGGCCAGGCTCCTTCAGCCGAACAAGTGGCCATTGAAGTTTGGCGGGAAAGAGATGGCGGGCGGTTGAAAATCTGAGGGAAAATCAGCCTCCGCTCATTGTCCTTGCTGAGCAGAGGAGAAGCCTTGGGCAACTTGACAAGATGTCCTCCTTTCTTGGCTCTTTTACTTTCCCTCAGCGCCTCTCCCTCACAGCCAGCTCAGCCTCACAGAAGATGCTCCTTCTTGCCGCCTCAGGTTTCTTCTTTCCCTCAGCGGGATTTACCTCAGGAGGCATCCCTTTTACGCAATCTTAGTACAGATTTACATAAAAAACGCACAAGCTGTAGTGTTTTTTTTCCCCAAAGTTTCCAAGCCCTTCTGGAAAGCTTGGCAGTAATTTAAATAGAAGTAAAATAGGGCTAAACTCACGGCTGTGGGGGGGGGGGGAAGGGACCAAGAAAGCTATATGCTGCTCAGTCAGTCATGTACAGTAACGCTTCCTAAGAACTGATGTGTGACTTCAAGACTCCAAGCTCTCCCTTCTTATATATATTTTTTATTTTATTAGTTAATCTGAGCGTTCCTCAGATTGGGTAGATGTTACTTTTGGGGGAGGACTATAACTCCCAGTATCCCACAGAGAGCCATGGCTCCTGAAGATAGCTTAGCGATGCTTATTCTGGGGTTCATGTTTATTTATTCATTTATTTATTTAACTTATATGCCACCCACACTACTCAAAGGTCTCTGGGCAGCTGTTGCAGCATCTCTGCTTATAATTGTCCCCTCACATTATCATCCCACATTAATGTGCTTTGAGTAACAACAGCAGCAACAACAAGAGATTTTAATAGAAAAGAATTATTACGAGAGGGGGATTTTTGGTGTGATACCTAATACAAAGTACTGTAGTCTAACACTTATTTTGGGGTAGAAAGAGGAATATAAACTTGTTCCTTTATAGGAATAAGCTTAACCATTTATTCTTTCTTGATTTTTCTGTTTCTAACTCTCATGTAAACCAAGGGCCTGCCACCAGAAACAATATCTGTCTTTTAAAGACTAAAACCTCTCCTGTTCACCTCTTGTTTCAATTTAATGGATTCTAACTCCTCAGAGGGATAAGTTATCTTTCCTAGCCGTCAACATAAACACATAGTAAGATAACATAAACATAATATTTGTAACAGCAGCAGCACCACACAAATCAATAGATTAAAACAACCACAGTGGATACAAATCCTAGCAGGAAACTAGTACAGTAGTTAAAATATATTCAGATTACTAGTGTTTTATCATTCTTTTTTTTTCTCTCTTTTTTCAAATTAGGGTTGGGTGGAGTATGAAGTTGGGAAGGGGGTACTACCCCCTAAACCATATAATCCCACCCCTCCATGGCCACTTTCTTCACACAGTGTCAGAAGAATCTGGAAAGAAGCAGCTCCTGTTTTGAGTCTAGGCTTTAACAAAGAACCTAGATTTTTCCAGCTTTATCCTGTATTTTACCTCATCTGTGCATTGACCTCTAACTCTGAATATATGAAAATACAAAGACCGTACCCTAGATTTTTCCAGCTTTATCCTGTATTTCACCTCATCTCTGCATTGACCTATAACTGAATATATGAAAACACGAAGACCATACACATTGCTGTTTTTTTAAAAATTGTGAACATGAAATTAAAGACCTCTCCTTCTCAAACGAAGGCATTCTACAATGCTTAAGGCATCTTTGCTGTTACGTGCTGCCACTGTAGCAGTATAGCAACCTTATAAAGGTTTTAAAAAGAAGTTATATATTTAAGGAGTGATTTTACAGTACACCTCTCCCCCCCCCCCGCATGAGTTTCCATGGCTGAGTGAGGATTCGAACCCAGGCCTCCTGAGTCCTAGTCCGTCACTGTATCTGCTACAGCAGGCTGGGTATCCCTAAAGTGTCTTATCCAGAGAAAAAAAGTGAGCACTTGAGAATTTCAGTGCAAGAAACAAGCATGTGCTGAAATCTCTCGCTCAGATAAACAGAAATATTAAAGATCCTTCATTTTCTGCCCCTCAGTATTTGTATCATGGCTTAGGTTCCTTGATATGGGCTCTACTGGTGGAAGGTCCCAGTTCATCTGCACTGGAGAGGGTGCAAAGATTTCCTGCCTCTGTGGAGTAAGGGGGAAAGGGGGGACAGTTCTGGACAGATTATTGCTTTTTAGAGGCTTGCTGAAACGTGCCCCAAAGTGATGAATGGTCCAAGGATAATTTTTTTATCCTCTGTAGTGAAACAGAATCCAATACAGTACTCTGGTCTATTGTGGGTGTGTTGTGTACAGTACTTCTCTTCCCATACTTCCTACTGTGTTCTTTAATCCATTTTTTATTCCAAAAGCTGGAAAGACCGTTGGCAGTTTTAATCGGCTTTTGCCCTTCTGTCTCAATGACTTAACAGTAGAATCGATTTTTTTACCATTTATTTTTAAAATATCTACCTCCCCAACACGTTTTTTGGTTTTTTTGGCGTGGGTTTTCTCTTCTCCCCCCCCCCCCCATAGGATATTTTCTGACCATTAGTATTGATGTCTCTCAAAGCATAAGTGACAAATAGGATTTTCAGAGATCTTGGACTAGAGACCCCCAGTTTCCGTTCTGGGAGTTTGACTCAAGCACACACACCCTAAATGTGGCTCAAATGGGAAAGGCTTGCAGGCTTAGCTAGGCCTAATTCCACCCAAGGAGTTCCTGCCGGGGTCTTAGCTGGGAGCTTTCTTTCTGAACACTTACAAATGTTAAAAGTTAACTCATTATATTATTAAATACATTTACAATTAAAATACTTTAACATCTTGTATTTAAAACCTTAATAATATTTTACCTGAAGAGAGGAAACTAGCAACTATGTTTAGTAGAACCTCTGGATATCTTGTTATTTTCCCACCCCCATCTTTCTCTGGAGATGGCAGGGATTGAATCCTGAATCTTCTATATGAAAATTTTGGGTTCTATCACCAAAGCAACCCTCTTTTTATAGGACTAAGCTCAGAAACAAATATCTTGTATACATTTTGAATCTCAGATCTTCTACATGGAAATTTTGTGCGCTGCCACCAAACTGCAACCCTCTTTTTGTAGGACTAAGATCAGAAACATGTATCCTGCACATTTTTTAAATCAAGGGTACTGTAGATTTTTTCAGTATGTGGACTGTGTGCAGGTCATGTAGCCCTCCCATTGGAAGGAAGAAAGGAAAGAATTAAAGATAAGAAAAGAAAATCAACCAACCAATCAATCAATCTGTATGGCCACAAAAAGATTCATATTGCCAGAGGCTTCCTGGAAGTATAATTCTCTGCTCTAAAAAGTTGTCATTTTCAAAACTAGAATTCAATAAATGTATTATGACTATTTGTGCAGCTCTTGGTTAGATGTGGTGGAAAATGTGGCAGATACACCCCCTGGATCATCTGCAACTCTCTACTCCTACCTTAAAGGAAGGGGCTCCTTGTGTATATTATCTCTTGACTAGATAATGTTTAGCTGCTCTGTTCTTCTCCGGGGCCTGAACTACCACATTTTTTTTGATCTGGTACTATCTTCTTTAAATAAACCTTTAAAAAGCAACTGGCCTCTCTCCAGTTTCCCATAAAATAATATACAGACAAAAAAGAAGTTGCTAGAATAAATATAATTAAATTAAAAATAGACTATGTTGTGTGTGTTTTTGGTCTTCTTGGGGCCCAAGTCTTGCTCATTCTCATCCAGAGAGAAAGCAAAATTCACCGGGGGGGGGCGGGGCGGCGGCGCTGGGATCAGAAAGGAAAAGTTACGTGCAAAATTATGGCTAAATAGGCTTGTGATCCAGATTTGCTTAGCTGCCTTTTTTGCTTTCATTAGCTGACATCTCTTTGGTTTTCATGTACAAATACAGCCCCAAAGATGTCCTTGTGGTATCGCTTTTGTCGTTTCAGCTGGAAGTAGTAGTCTTCTGCTTGTTCCTCCATCAAGCCCAGCTGTCATGCAAACATTTCCTTCACAGTCCTGGCCACTTCTCCGGCCATGCGGACGTCTCTGCAGACGTAGAGGTGGCCCTCCTCCTCGTGCAAAAGTCTGCAGGCTCAGGCTTCCAGCTTGTTCCAAAGGAGGTCTTGAACATAAACTTTGGGACAGCTGGGCTCTCTGGAGTGAGCTGCGTAGACCTCCTGAAGGACCCCTTTCCTGTGCATCTCCTGCATTTCCTCTTGGTACAGGTGATCCAGGCTGGCATGGCGACACCCAAACAGCAGCATCATGCCCTTCCCTTTGATCCCTGTGAACAAAGCATGGGTTTGTCTCATTTAGGTCAACGGTGTTCAGCCAGGTGCTGCATGCTGTAAGCCGCCCAGAGACCTTCGGGTAGTGTGGGCGGCATATAAGTTAAATAAATAAATAAATACTGTAAATAAATAATAAATATGCCATGGTGTACTGGACCTGTTTCATCTCTAGTCCTGTAGGTCACCACAGTGACTGTCAGATAAAGCTCCCTGGGTTCCAAATCTGGGGAAGAACTGATGGAGTAATACCGGAGTTTCAGCAGCGGCATCTGGGACAGCAAAAAAGCTGTCTAGACCTGGATGGAGGGGAACTCCTCCAAGACCTTCGGGATGAGGATTGCAATTTCCTCTCCCAGTTTCCCACTTCATCCGTGGGCTCTTTGTTAAGGAAGCCTCTAAGGGCTGAAATCCCCCTTCAAAGCCAAGAGAGCACAAAAGACTTTGGGGGAACCACAGGGAGCCCTCAGAGCAAGACACCCTTCCTGGCTTAGGCACCAGCCACCCACCCCATATCCTACTAAGATTGCACCTAAGCACCCAGGGGAAGGATGAGGGAAGTGGGTTAGGGGGGCAGAAGATGCCCCAGGCTTGCCACCCCAAAGAAACATTTCTCCATGGCACCTGTCCCATCCCCCAACATTAGCACAGCCCCCTTTTCACTCTCACTCAAGAGCTCACTCACCTTCCTTCCGTAGACCAGCAGGTATGCCTTCCCGACCGTGTCGTACAGGAGGCGGATCCCTGCCATGTCCCGTGGAGGCTCCAGTGTCGTCCCTCGGGGAGGGTCGTGGGCCGAGAACCAGGCTGATCGGACCCACGCCCTCCTCTCCTCCTCTCCCAAGAGCTCGCCAAAGACCTACACGCATGCAATGGGTCCCTTCCTAAGAAATGGGTCTGGAGGGGAAGAATAGGGGTAACCATCCCCCCCGGCCTCACGGGCCACTTCCACATCGGTTATGCGGTGGAGGGCCAGCTCTGCAACCCGATCTGTTCCCCCCCCCCAGG